CTGTGATGGAAGTCAAATTGAAGATCACGAATATCCAGTCTGTGAAGGCACAACAGTTTCATTTCAGTGTGAGGAGAACTTTAATTTAGTTGGTGAAACTACAATTACTTGTGTTGATGGCAACTGGTCGCATGCTGTTCCTCACTGTAGCCCAGGTTGTCCTGATCCCGGCACACCGGAAAATGGTCTTCAGATTGATGAACATGTATATCCAGTAGATACGGGAACAGTTGTTAGATTCTGTTGTGATTCCGGTTATGATTTATATGGAGAACGAGCAACAATGTGTCATCATGATGGAAGCTGGTCAGATGAACCGCCACTGTGCCTCGGACGTTGCGTTGACCCTGGTGCCCCTGAGAATGGATATCATCTGGTTGAGTTAAATTACCCTGTGAAAAGTAATACAACAACAAGTTTTGGTTGTGATACGGGATACTCGTTACATGGACCCGGTGGGAGTAGATGTGAGAATGGAGAGTGGCAACCAGCAGTAGATGACACATTTTGCGCAGGTGAAATATATATATTTGATTATATGTTCTAATATTATGTTGTTTTTTAAATACACATTAATGAACACAACATATGAAATGTGTATTAAAATACATTGCCATTGTTATATTTTACAGAGATAAAGGAATGCTGCAGTAATCCATGCCAGAATGGCGGAACGTGCATTGATGGCACAGACAGATATGATTGTATCTGCCCTGTTGGATATCAAGGAGTAAATTGTGAAAGTGGTATGCGGTAGTAACATTTGTTCTTATATGTTGAATATTTTTATTATTCTGAATCTAGGATCATACTTTTATTTTAAATTGACAGGTTTATATTTCTGTTACAGAATATTCGGTATGTTATGTCTGGGGTGATCCACACTACATCACGTATGATGGTGTCAAGTATGAATTCCAAGGTCCATGCTCATATATGCTAACTGAGAGTGTTTCAAGTACTATGACATCTTTTAAAGTAGTATCCATCAATCAGGATTGGATGACGGCCCTAGACGAGAAAGTCAGTGTCACTACGGAACTCATTGTCATCGTGTATGGAACGGTAATGCTACCATGTGAACTGTTTTAAATTCCCCACTTTGTTAAGATGAAGAATTAGTATACCATGCATTGATATTGAAATATGTTCATCATCAATGTTTAAGCAGACTGCTGTGTGTTAAATATTTCATTTCTTCATCTTTAGTTCTACACAAATTGAATTATGGATGACAAAGGCAAACAAATAAATTATTTTTCATATTTTGTTCTAGGAAGTGCGCCTCATGCAGGATAAGGTTGTAGAAGTGAATGGAGAAAGGGTAGCCCTCCCCTACCAACCAAATCTAGGGATTGACATCAGGATTACTGGCAGATACGTTGTAAGTAAATGCTATGTATTTCCCAGAAGATGATAACATATTACGGATTGTACATGAGTGTAATGTCTTTCGTTTTATTCCAGACACTGACAACAGATTTCGGGATGACAGTGAGATGGGACGGTGTTCATTTTGGTGATGTGAAGTGTCCTGGTTCCTATAAAAATACACTTCGTGGTCTATGTGGCAATTACAATGACAACCCAGATGATGATTTTATTGACCCTGAAGATCGCTTGGTATGTTTAACCTAATTAATATGTATACTATTTCCAAAATGTGGAAAAATCTCCATACATAAATGTATAGAAGTAGGTTACCATAGAAGTATGTTACCATAGTATTTGTTACTAAGTGTCTCCTATCTACATTTCTCATCTATTTCATCATGGCACTAATGACCAAGTTACATATAGTTAAAGTACAAACGATGATTCTCATTTGTATGTCAAGCATGATAACGTTTTATCTCAATAGATACCAACAACCCTTGACCACACTCACAGAGCAGCTATGTTTGGAAACACTTGGGTTGTCAATGGTGATGAGTGCACTTCAAATGCAGCTGGATGTAATCCCTGTGCCAATGATATCGATACGGCTGAAAAGGCACATGAATTGTGTGGATTTTTGATAGATGACAAGGGTATTTAACTATTATTTAAAGCTAACTAACCAAACAAAGTTTTATACTTATAAATGTTGCATACAAAATCAACACTTCAAGAGTACAATTATGGAAAACCATTGTTGCAATTACAGGTCCATTTGCAAGTTGTCATAGCACAATCGATCCTGTGGATTTTTTCATTGCCTGCATGTTCGATACCTGCTCAAAGCTCCCAGATACCCGAGGTTTGTGTATGAATGGGGAAGCATATGCACAAGTCTGTCTGGATAATGGAATTGCAATATCCTGGAGAACAGAACAGCTCTGTCGTAAGTAATAGTATTATAGTACCTGTATATCAATGGCAGTGTAAATGATGAACATGTTTTACATGGACTAATAGACCATTTTCCGTACACTGCCAGAATCACGCGTTATGCGTGAAATCGAACGTAAAAACAGGACAAACAAAGGTCATAGCGTCGTAGTGGCGTCAAACATCGCGTGGGATTCGACAAACGCGAAAGTATTTTGGGGACATTTCCATGCTTAATAATGTGCTGTCCACATTTGATGATAGGCAATTTCGATTAAGTAAGGGTATTCGGAAGCAATATTCCTCTGTCGAAGATCGGCCGGTCGGTGTGAGCTACGAAATAAGGAAATTCGAGTTCAAAATCAAATCGTTTGATTTTTGCAGCAGACGTTCGACGCGCGTCTTTCATGCATCTCGCGAGATCTCGCAATTGTACGGAAAATCACCTATTGGGCATGTTTGTTAGCCCTTGATTTGTTTTGGCAATGTAATGTGATTGACATCAACATCAAGTCACAGATGATCTTTGTTATGGTAGATTACGTACACGGTATAGTACTGGTGAATTCAGCTGATACATAATTTTAACCCATAGCTCTAATGTGCAAAGAAGGTGAGGAGTACAACGTGACAGTTTCTGCTTGTTTGAAGACATGTCAAAACACTTATCCTTACCACTCTTGCCAAGAACCCAGACTTGTGGATGGATGCACCTGTCCCTATGGTGAAGTATTCAACTACAAGGGGGAATGTGTGACTGGTGAATACTGTGGGTGTTTAGTGGAAAGCCGTTACCTACCGGTAAGACATTATTCATAACTGATATAGTTCAAGCTTCTCACATCATAAAACCTTCCTATTTCATAACTTTATTATTTCTTCCTTCAGTACATGGAATCATTCGTCCGAGAACAGTGCGATGAAGAGTGCACATGTGTTCATACAGATCGCTTAGACTGTGTGGCTGTACGGTGTCATCATCAAGCATACTGCGGTGAAAAAGATGGGCGACACGGATGCCATTGTCATGATGGTCTTGGTGGAAATGGTTACTCATGCTATGGTAGCGTCCTAATTTAAAATTGCTTAATCCTCCTATCATTAGTCATTCTAATTTAAGTTGGAGAGAATCAAAGTGAAGTCATACCCTGTAAACCAATATTAATAAAAAATTATATTTCCCTGATTAGGAATGTCTTGTACAAGTGACCCTTGTCAAAATGGAGGAACATGTCAAGACCACGGGTTTCACTACGAGTGTCATTGTATGCCTAACTACGATGGACTTAACTGTGAAAGAGGTCAGTTGCTACAGTTGTTAACAAAACATGCTTTCATTACATTAGATATGCATATATGCATCTATGTATGAAGCCATATTTTACATATCTCTATTCAACAGAACGTGGTGCATGTGAAAGCAATCCGTGTCTGAATGGCGGAACCTGTCTGACAAGCACAGACAACGTATATAGATGTGAATGTGTAGAAGGATATGAAGGGATGCAATGTGAAATAGGTAAATCATGCATTCAACATTGAAATATAATCTGACTATAGAATATCGTGGGAACTTAGTCTTAATGAGCTCTGCTTTAAATGTGTTACAGATATAGACGAATGTGAAAGTTCTCCTTGTCACAATGAAGGTGTTTGTGTTGATGGAACCAATGGCTACACATGTGAATGTGAACATGGCTGGGAAGGTGAAAATTGTGATTTAGGTAAGGCTGAATATGTAAAATATTTTACGAACTGATACTTGCTAGTGCTAGTGATGACACATAGTGCATTTTGCCACAGAAGTCATATTCATGTTTGGGACTACATGACAGGGCTGTGTGGTCATCTCTCTGTCAAATGGCAATTTGTAATGCGCTATCCTGGTGTCAACCAGGCCCGGTCGAACACAAGCACCTGCGAACCTCAACCAAGGTTCCCCCAAAGTCGCATTCGTTAGTGAATGAATTTCGGCCAGTGGAATTGGCCTTCCCATTGAATCTGTGGCACACTCACCCAGGGTAGGGGTCGACCCTTTGATGTTCAGCCTAATGTAGGATGCAACAACCACTATGCTACCAGTGACGGAACTGATACGTAACTCTCTCTAAATATATACATATATATGTTTGTCTCCAGGGTTCTATTGTAGAGGAGATCCATGTCATAATGGCGCAACTTGTGAGCAAAAAGAGTGGGGGTATGAGTGTGTGTGCCAGTCCGGATATGAAGGTCAACACTGTGACATAGGTACGTTTTATAACTCAAGATACATGTATCAATTCTGTTTACTTATTGTTAATTGTTTTATAGTTAAGTTATTACATTGTATTACAGATATTGATGAGTGTGCCAGTAATCCCTGTCACAATGGCGGAACATGTATAGATCAAATAGATAGATACATATGTCAGTGTGAAAGCGAATGGGAAGGTGACAATTGCGACTCAGGTGAGGATTTATAAATACAGGAAAAAATCAATAGCTATCTAGAGAAATGAAGTGTAATTACTGTGTAGGATATAAAGGCCAAGAATGTGAGAATGACTCACAGAAAAACTCAAATAGAACAATACAATATGAGACCTAACCAAATGTTTGTAGTGGTTAAACTAATCTTTGGTGATTTTTTTTATACAGACAAATATTTCTGCCACAGTAATCCTTGCCATAATGGCGGCACATGTATAGAGGAAGACGGAGGATACCGATGTGAATGCGAAATAGGTTGGGGAGGAGAAGTGTGTCAGCAAGGTGAGTAGAAAGTAAAATCCACCATGTTCTATGTGTTGTGTTTTATTTAACAACGACGTGCTAGGAAGCTCAGTAAAGTTTTTCAAGATCTTCTTGTTGTGGGTTGTAGATGAACAGTTTCAGTAGGCAACCTGTTCAAGTTTCTCAATTGAAAAACAAATAAACACATGTTATATGGCGAATTTTAATTAATAATGTGAATCTTTCAGCACCTCATTGTGCAACTGATCCATGCCAAAATGGTGCAACCTGTTTAGATAACGACACGGGATATCGATGCCACTGCAAACCTGGTTATGAAGGAACAAACTGCCAAATAGGTATGAACAAATACGTATATAGGATACAAAGTAAACATTAATATAAAATCTTAAATTATGTAAGACAAACAACTTGTCCTTCACAGACATTGACGAGTGTCAAAGCTCTCCTTGCTTGAATGGAGGTACGTGCATTGATGGTGTTGATGGATACCAATGTGAGTGTGCAGATGACTGGGAAGGAGACTACTGCCAAGCTGGTGAGTTATGTGCATTGTTTTGAACATTGTATTACTTTGATTGGGCCATGTTACTGTGAGCTGTAACTCCTAAGCTGGCAAAGCTCCATTATTAAGTTCACAATCAAATTGGCCACCATTATAATGTATATGTGTATTGTGGCAGGTTACTACTGCTCTAATGATCCTTGTCGAAATGGTGGAAGTTGCGTAGATGTGGATTTGGGGTATGAATGCCATTGTATACCAGGATATACAGGGATTCACTGTGAAACAGGTGAGCTTGTTGTAGCCTATAAACAGTAATTATTATTCATTTGATCGTCAAAAAAGCATTGTTATATAGATATATATTCTCACTTTTGTGTTCACTTATTTAAACAGAAATAGATGAATGTCTCAGTGACCCTTGCCATAACGGAGGGACATGTGTTGATGATATCAATGGATACACTTGTCAATGTCAGAGTGGTTGGGAAGGTGACCAATGCGATTCAGGTGAGGCAATGCAAGAGACCTGTAGTATTTAGTAAAACTTTGCAGAAAATATAACAAATTATTGCATCTGCTGAACAAATTATAATGCTGGTATTAACTGTTGGTATCTTGGTATTGTCAGGATTTTATTGCAGAAGCGATCCTTGTCAGAATGGGGCTACCTGCGCTGACACTCAGTCAGGTTATCAGTGCTACTGTCTCACAGGGTATGAAGGGATACATTGTCAAATAGGTATGTAGTTTTAATTCTCAAATCCGCTTTCGGGGGAAAGTTAAGTAGATCATCTATTTACTGCTTTTAAATTG